CAGCCCAGGGTACTGGCACACATTTTGCAGCTGTATTGAATTTTAGTCTGGGTCACCCATCTTTTGAAGTGATGCTTTATGCCATACCATGAAATAAAATTACTCTTACTGAACTTGAAGACTTTGCCCAAATTGCCAAATAGTGTTCTGTTAACTGTGTTAAGAGTTCAAACCCATATCAACAAAAAAATCTGGGAAATATTTACTTAGGCTTTCTTTGTAATCAATAGAAATTGCCACAGCTGTATTAATCAAGGCGATTTTTCATCCTTGATTGAGAAAATAACATAGAGTATTTTAAGTCTTTGTTCATCTATTGATTTACATCTCTTGCTTGGGAACCTTTTGATCTTCTGTGGCCCATAAAAGAGAAATCCATAAATTTGCATTTAATGTACACAATAGTCCACTTCAATTTGGAGCCTTGAGATGGTCCATCCTGTTTCAAAGTAGGAATTAAAAGGATTGTTTTTCATCGTTTCCAGCTACAGGTCTGTTGGCTTGCTAGAGATCACAGCTGTAATTGATACACTTTTCTTTTTGATAAATGGCAAAGCTTAAACTTTCAGGCCAATAAGTTATATGAATTGCAGCTATACTTTATATATTTGCTTCCACTTATGATATTTTTTATTACATTGTGGAGAAATGAATTGGGACTGACGTGATATTGTTTACAGCTCTCTTTGACTTTTGTTTATTTATTTTTGGTTAGCCTTTTAATCCAGATACAGAAATCTATTATGAGCTAAGCTCTCCATGGTATTAAAAGCCTTCTACTTGGAGACAATGATACAGGGCAATTAACCTTGATCCTAGAGTCAGTCAGTAGCATTGGTAGTTTGACAGACCAGGGTATAAAGATGTATCCCATACACTTAAAAATTATAATTTAAGATAATAATATCCTTTTAAGAGAGCTAATTGTACAATTGCCTTTTATATTTTAATAAAAAGAAATGAAAGCAAGTTTCTCCAAATTCAGATGATGCCCTTTAATTATCATGAACTTAGATAATTCCTCTTCCATTTGAAATGTATTGCAATAGAGCAGTGGTTCTCAACATGTGGGCCATGACCCCTATGGGGGTCGCATAACAAATATCTTATATATCAGACATTTGTATTACAATTCATGACTAGCAAATTTACAGTTATAAAGTAGCAATGAAATAATTTTATGGTTTGGGGTCACCACAATACGATTTACTGTATTAGGAAGGTGGAGAAACACTGGTATAGAGGATCTTTGAAGCAAGGCCCCATATCTGAATCCCAGATGTACCTCTCCTAAATGACTAACAAGGCGATCCTACCTGATAGGCCTGTGAGAAAGATACCCCATGGTGTAAAATAGAGCTTACCCTAGTGGTTGATTCGGTAAATGTGCTTATAACAGAATGTTTAAATGGAAAATTTTGACAGGTTGTCAGATAAAATAGAAGTAAAATTCAAAAGTCAGGTTCTCACAGCCAGAGCATTCCACAAAGGAATTGGCTAAGGACAAAGAAAGATACTATTGCTCTTAAGCGCTGTGACTTACTAAAGACTTTAAAAGGATACGCAGAGTGGAAATTTGATGAGGGCACATTATACAGTTCCCTCTTCTTTCTAGGGCACATGGAGATACGAAACCTAGTAACAGATCTCCCAAAAAGCTACAGTGGAACTTCCCTATGTTCTGCCCAGTCGGCAGTTCCTAACACAGGTTCCCCGCATAGGCTGAGAAGTGAACACAGGCTGTGCTCATGAGTTAGAGGTGCCTGTGGCATTACTGCCTCCTCTCAATAATTAGCTGTGAAGAAAAGCACCACCCCAATCACCGAGAACACTCTCTCAGAAACACAATACACTTCCTTGAACAAATGTGCCAGGGACCAAAGGTCTGGAGGAGAGTTGGGGTTCTATCTAAATAGTGGTCACAGTCAGGAGAAAGTGTGGTCAGAGAAAGAAGCTGAGGACATATGGACTCTAGGAGGCCTAGGGGATGCCTGCCCTTCCGCTGCGGTGTGGCAGTGTGCAGGCATGTGACATTCAGAGGACATGTGCGAGCGTTCAAGGAATGAGCAGTGTGATCTTGCATGAAGCCCGCTTATCCTTATCCATGATGCAGTATCAATCCACCCTTCCTTCCTCACTCTCTCCTTTTTCCGTTCCCTGAAACCTGACCAATCAGGGTTCGTAGAGGAGAAGATGGAGGAGGGAGACACTCTAGGCAGAGAAAGGGAGATGAAATCCCTCACACTACACTTGCCTTTCAGCCTGAAGCCGACCTGTGTGATGGGAGGGAAGCCACATGAAGAGCAGTCAAGGACTGGACCTCGTGCTGATATCTTGGAAAGAGCATTCTATGTTTGAATGCAAACTGTACTTCAGTCGAAAGCGGGACTTTATGATCAGTAAAAATGAGTAGGGAAATGTTACAGGGTTTTATATAGGGACTCAGCTGTGCAATCCTTGCTGAGTGCAAATTCAAGTGTGTTAGGAAGAAAAAACAGGCAGTCGATCTGTAGTGCTGGTTACATTACGGTGGGTAATGCTTTTGCAGAAGGGTTAACTTCAACTTCAACTTTACTATTGTATTCACACACTTTTCATTTTTGTGTGATCTTTCCTCTGCTGTTTTTGGCTTATAACAAGTGCCCCACACCCCAAGCCGGTTCCTTCAGTGACTAAGGAGGGTGTTTTGTAACCAGGTTTCTCACAGTGCTCACGTTTATTTGCATAACACTAATGTTCTCTGGGCACTTTACTGAGAAATTTTATATCCAAGGTTAAAGTTGTGTCACTGTTGCATGGAATTTCCAGGCTTCAATATTCTGGCATGCCCATAACACAGCAATTGTGAGTATTTGAATGTGAACAGGAAAAGGGAGCCATTTCTTTGTTTCATTAAGTAAAATTGTTGTGTGATACATATAACAAAAGAGCATAATTATTGATAAGTAAGTTTGGCAGAGAGAATGAATCTGTGTTACCAACACTGGGTCATAGGATGGAACTTTGCTGACTTCTGACTCTGCCTCCTTATGAGGGATTTTCCTTGTTTTTAGACTTTTTTCAGGTTGGAAACAAATTTTGTGAGATGTTCTTATATTAAATATATAGTTCCTGTTTCTTTAATTACAAATTTGTACATATTCCATTTGGACAATACACAATAATTTATTAGTTGATTCTGTTATTGGTTGATGACTATTTGGGTAATTTTGAGAGGTAGGATACTTATTTTTTGTTATTTTTAATTGTGTGTGTGGGGGGGGAGGTGTGTGCACATGGGTGTAGGTGGAGGCATTGGATCCCTTTGGAGCTGCTGTTAGAAGCAGTTGTGGGCTGCCCAACTTGGGTTGCTGGGAATTGAATGCTGGTCCTCTGCAAAGGCAGTACATGTTCTTAACTGTTGACTCCTCTCTCCAGCCATGAAATACAGGCTCTTTCTTGATGCACCAGGAACATTCTTACACATGTACATGGTTGAGACCATTTTTACTAACATCAGGCTTACAAGTTAATTATAACTATGATTGCTTTTATTAGATAGTAGCAGTTTCCAAAATGGCTGTAAAAATTATACTTTCTTCAGTGTGTCTGAGAAGTTATGTCACCTCCTTGACAACATTTGATATGTTTGAAATCAAACTTTTGAAATGAAAGGTTTGGTGTGTGCCAACTGTTTTCTGAACAAATCTTTTAGCCAGTGCATGCGCTTGACACACACCCAGTCTACTCAGAGTTCTGTGCTGTCATGAGAACATTTCTGCCTCCTGATTGTTTATTCAAAGCCTAGCTTCTGGATTTCAAAAAAGCTCAGGAAGGCTATGTGTTTCTCTCCTCAATGGCTGTCAATGCCTTTGATAAGTGAAAGGAAGAGAGCAATCGTATCAGTCAATGTTTTGAACACAATTGCAGAAAACATGCCTCAAATTAATTTCAGCCCAAAGTGACCTCCCTGTGAGGTTGAAAAGCCATGCCTGGCTGACTCCAGGGACAAAGATTTACTTTCTCAATCAACACTGCTTTTCACTGGGTCAGTTTCCTCCCTGTTGAACACACAAATTATATTAATCTTTTAAAACCTTCATGGCAAAAATAAAGCCAAAATGAAATGGTAACCGCCAACCCTTCTTGCCTTCCTGGGATCCTTATGTGTCCTAGAATCGGAGTTTCTTGATCTCTCTCTCTGATTGGCACACTCTTGAGCTCAAGGGTGGGCTTGGGTTCCTTCTGCATCTCAGGATCATAGAGGAGCAAGGACTTCCTGGGGAACAAGGGAATGCTGTTAGCAAGAGACAGTGGTTGGTGGTCGACAGCTCAGATTAGCAGAAACTAATGCAGTTACTTGTTCCACAGATACCATAGGATTTGCCTGTGGATTAAGTAATAGTGCTGGGGAGTTGTTCATGTAAGCCACATGTTAGCCTTTGGGAGGCCACTCTTGTTGCATCGTTCTGGGTCTTCTGTTATCAATCTGCACTGAAGGGCTACTACACAGCGAGCGGCACTGTGGAATTCCTTATCCTATTGTAAGATATTATACTAAAGGCTCATTTGATTCTATTTCAGTCTTTCTGTTATGAGATTTCCTGGGACAAAAGACCAGGATGAGCTGAGGTTTTTTACACACCCTGTAAAAGCTGTACACAGCTTCAGAATGCTGTGATTTCTGAGCTAGATCAGGAGTTTCTTCCTTGTGTTCCTAGAATGACAGACTCAAGCACACATCCTCAGTGATGTGTGCCAGCTCTCCAAGGTTAGAATGTTTTGGTGTTAACCTCAATCCTTAGGTTTTGTTCTCTTTCTCCTTTGGTCTGATCTCTGAGTGCCCCCATGACCCCACCACAGATTTTGATTGTGTATTGTGATTGTAAATTTTCTATATTTGGTGATGAAGTTGAAATATACTTATTTGGGAAAATTTCACTCCATACACTGACAGATGGCCACAAAATGGTTTCGGCTTTGTTGATGCATTTATTCACAGGGTTCACTTTGTGTTCTAGTTTTAGATGAAGGTATTGTAAAACACTACAGAATCAGAAGGCTGGATGAAGGTGGCTTTTTCCTTACCAGGAGGAAAACCTTTTCAACCTTGAAAGAATTCGTGAGTTACTACAGCACAACAAGTGATGGCCTGTGTGTCAAGCTGGGAAAACCGTGCTTAAAGGTGACATTATCTCAGCTACGTTCATTTGTCTTTAAAGCTAACATTTTCTTTTCAGACAGTCCAGTATTTGTCATTTGCTGTTGGTTCATATAAAACAGTCATTTGGTTGCGTAGACCAGGAATAGGAAAATTATGGCCTGTGAGTTGGTATTTTTAAAGAATGTTTGTTTATTTTACAGGAGGTATGCCAATTGATTTACTATCTTTAGTTGTTTTGCTCTCTTATATTAGATAGCGTTTAATAGTGGCAATAGAGACATACATGTTGCACACAGTAAGCTTGACAGTGAGTTTTACTATCCACAGTGTTCCTGTGACCAAATGGACAAAAACAACCCAAGAAGGCAGAGTTGACTTTTAGAGGATTCTAAAAGTTTTAGTGGATTTTAGTGATTTTAGAAGATTCAGTCCATGGGCTCCTGGCTCTGCACACCCGGGCAGACCATCATGGCAGCAGGAGCTTGTGGCTGAGGAGGCTCTTCCCTTCATGGTGGCCAGGAAGTGTATGAAAGGGGAGAATACAGGAGGGGACCGGATAAGATACAGATAGTTCGCCCTTGTCCTTGTGTTCAGCACTCTTGTAAGAACACCAAGGATCAAGCCTTTGATTAGACTCCAGTGCTTATGACTTAATAGACCTTGGAAATGCCACCAGATGTACCTAGGGGTTTGATGAACTAATCTCTTAGGTGTTTCTTAATCCTATCAAGTTGACTACCCAGATAACCATTATAACGCTCTGAGGCCTTGCCAGTTTTACTTCCTGAATGGTGCCTAGTCAGTGCCTAAACATTACTTGTCAACTAAGTAAATTAATGAATGGGGAAAAAAATTAAATGACAAAAATGAATTTGAAAACTGAAGGTTTCATTTTGAAAAAAGATTTGAGGCAAATAAATAATAACTACTACAGCCCAAAGTACAGGGAAGTCACGAGGGGAAGGCAGCATTTCTAGTCCAGGTTCACACTGAGAGGATCCAGCCAGGCAGGGGGTGGAGAGAAAACACTGCAGACTCCTGTGGGGTGACACAGGGTGTTCATGGGTGGATGGACATGGGCTGTAGGATAAGAGAGAGGATTGGTTTAAAGTAAACAGTACAGATTTTAATTTACCCCATTTGGTTTTTAGAAAGAGCCTTTTTCTCTAGAAGTCCAAAATTATCATTTTCAATCAAAATTATATGACACACACACACACACACACACACACACACACACACACACACACTAGAGAGGGAGAGAGAGAGAGACAGAGAAAGCATTTAAGTACCATAGCATGCTTATAGCAGTCTGAGGACAGTTGTGTGCAGTCATTTCTCTCCATCTATCTTTCCATGGGTTCTGGGAATCAAACTAATGTCATCACACTTGCACAGTAAGTTCTTTTGCCCTCTAAGCCAGCCACTATCTTTTGTTTTGACAAGTATTATCATTATTCTCTGAAACAGATACAGGTTCCAACTCCTTTTGATTTGTCATATAAAACTGTGGACCAGTGGGAAATAGACCGCAACTCCATCCAGCTTCTGAAGCGACTGGGATCTGGCCAGTTTGGAGAAGTTTGGGAAGGCCTGTGGAATAATACCACTCCAGTGGCTGTAAAAACGTTAAAACCAGGTATGAGAACACCAGCGATTAAATGGCATACACTGGTGTGTGTGTGTGTGTGTGTGTGTGTGTGTGTGTGTGTGTGACAGATTCTGGTTGGTAAATGCCATAGACTTCATAGGACAGCCAGCACTGACAGCAAGCAGATGTTGTTATTGTTCTACCCTTGGTGACTGGTATACAGTATGGATACCTTTTAAAATAGGAAGCAAGGACTTGCTCTCATACCACTAAAGCTAAGACACCTCCCAGTTTTAGACCCTGGCAATGTATGTCTTTCAAAAAGTTAGCATTCCATCTTCCTTTTTTATTTTTGTTAATTCACTGACTAAACATTCTTTACAAATCAGATGTGGTGACTGGAGATTCTGTCCCGTTGGTGAAGGACATGCCACGCAAACATGAGCACCTTAGTTTGACCCTCAGCATTTATGTGCAAAGCCAGGTATGGCAGCACCCTGGGTGGGGGGGGGGAGCAGCCAATGTAGCTGAATTTGTGAACTCAAGGTTTTCTGTTTTGTTTTTGTTTCAAAAATAAGTCGTGAGTAATAGAAGAAGCCTCTTGACATTGGACTCTGACTTCCACACACATACATGCACATGTACAAATACATCCACATGCATTCAAAAACATATGTACATCCACATACATTCAGATGAAAAAACTAGTGTTATTTAAAGAATAACCTTTTTTATTAAAGATTAACTGTACATGATTAAGGATAAGATAAAATAATTCATCTACAAGACCTTTTTTTATTTTTTTGAGGCTGGGCTTCTCTATGTAGCTCTGGCCTCCTGGAATTCACTCTGTAGACTAGGTGGGCCTTGAAGCCAGAAATATGCCTGACTCTGCCTCCTAGTACTGAGATTAAAGGCATGTACTATCATGCATGGCTTAGGAGACCTTTCATTAAAAATGTAGAAACGATTTTTTTTTCTCATCTTCATTTTCCCTGTAGTTGAGTAAGTGTATCCTTAGATCAATATTTAGTCATGCAGGTGTTGTTTGTTCATTTGTTTCATTTTAAAGGTGAGGTAAGGTGCTTAAGAGAGACTAAGTAATTTTCCTAACACTTGTTATTCTTATATAACCCAATCAATTGCTAACAACACTGTTTGCCTCAGTTACATTGCTTGTGAAATAAACATATTGCAAAGATTAAATTGAATCATTAGCAGAGACATATTGCATAGTGCCTGGTTCAAAGTCAGTAATGAAAAAACATATTGTTATTACAAAATGAGTAATAGCAGAACCTATGACCCATATTTATCATTGTTGTATCATACTCTATAGAAATGATGCTCTGTAGAAGAACATGAGGCTCTGGCCACTTCACGTCTACCTCTAATATCACCACAGAGATTATAACTCTGGCTAGACTACAGTGCTCTGTGAAACTTTATTATTTACCAGTCCACGGTGCTTAAACATTTTAGAAGCCTCCTAGTGCCGAGACTTGAGCATTTGGCTTTCCTCAGATGCTAATTTGCATAATACATGCTTCCCAAATTGTGTGCCAAGATATTTTGCAGAACCCCACGGAACCGAACAGAGGAGCTGAGGGGCATTTGAAGTAGCATCTTGAATATGGCACAATGGTGCAACATTAAAGAAATTCCAAGTTTTAGCTTTTGACAGTGTTGTATTCTTTTTGTTGATACCACATTTCTGTGAAACTTAACATTTTTATATATTCTTTCATAATTTCATACATGCATATATATTTTTATTGTATTCACATACAATTAAGTTCCCATTTCCCCCTTTGCTCCCATTGAATTGTTTCTTCTTCCAACAACTTCATCTCCTATTTTCATGTCCTTTCTTTGTGGTGATCAACTAAGTTTAATCAGGATTGCTTGCAAAAGTTTGGGTGGGGGTGATATTTTCTGGAGCATGGAGCACTTAGCAGTGTCTACACCACTGAAGAAAATGACAGCCAGTAGCTGTCAGTAGCTCCCCAGGAAGGTGAGGAGCCTCATGAGCCCCAACTCCTTCCATTATATAGTGCTGACAGGTCCAGTTCAGAGCAGGTCTTCTACAGGCAACCATGGCTGCTGTGATTCATGAGTGATTCATGAGGGCAGCAACAACCACACCACGTTCAGAAGACAGTGTTTCACAGGATTCCTGCTTACCCTTTACCCTTGCTTTCTCCCCCTTTTCTCCTCTAGAATGTTCCTGGAGCCTTGGTGTGGAGGGTGATTTGGATGTTCTTTTTAGGTGTGAGCTCTCAACTGTTAATTATTCTCAGTACTCTGACATTTTCTGAGTCTCTGCATTAGCCCAAACTCACTACACACAATAAAAAGCTCCCCTACAGCGGAGAGCAGCCCTAATCTAGGATAGTAACTAGGGTAGTAACACAAACATTTGGAAGGCAACTAGACAACATGCTCATGTAGAAAACAAGAGTATAGTTCCTCTCTAAGGAGTATGACCCTACTAGCCAGTTTTTTTTCCAGATTCGAACTGTAGGCATGGTTTTTCTCTGGTTGTCTCCAGGACAGTCTTGTCTCTAGCGCACTAGTGGGCACATCTCACCTGGCAGGTCAGCATTGTAGCACACCGAGTCTCCAGCTGAGCAAGAGCGATGATAACTTTTCTCCCCAAGGAGTCTACACTGCGACCTTGTTCCATCCCCAGCATCGGGAAAGCTAGCAAGTGGAGGAAAAGCTTCCAATTTAGTTCCAGTTTGATTTCCCTATGCCGGGCTTTGATGACTTCCATCATCAAATGCAGAATCCACACAAAAATCACCGTAGACGAGGGCACAGCGGTGGCAGCCCTGAATCTGGCTGCAAGATTTGAGAAGTGATGGCATGTCCTGTATTGATTGTGCCACTTTAAAAAGGCATCACAGTTAAGATGAAATCTAGATTTCTCCTTTTCCTTTCAACTCCCCTCCATCACCTTCTCAGATAGCTATTAGCTTCCTAAGAAAATAACTTGCAGTTGTTTGGATCTAACTGGACAATCAAATTATGTGTTAAATATTGGTTGTGGCATGGGGCATTGTGAAGAAAACCAATTGAGACATTAAGGATAATATGAACTGAGAAGGTTGGGGTGTGACAGGTAAGAACAAGAAATTTGGCGTAAGATAAACCTGAGTGCAAACTTGGCTTGGTCGCTCTGTCCCTGGGTGTCTTTAGATAGTCCCCTAAACTTTCTGTATTTCCTCATCAGGATGGTAGAATTTGATGAGCACAGATTAAGCCAGTGGGCACTTTGTTTATGCAGAAGTTATTTCCTAGCAGCTGACAGATGCAGCTCTCAAGTTCAAGCTTGAGCACACAGGGATTCAGTTCCCGCATTCACTTCCGCCAGGTGAAACATCAGAGAGACACGTGTATGTGACTAGATGCCACCCAGTGGCTGTCAGTGAGGACAATTTATCCCAGCATTGGTATTTCCAGAGTCACCATGCATATACACCTCCAAATGATAATCTTGTTGGCACCTGAGAGGGAACTTTATTGTCCAATCTAATTATTTTTCCAAAGGTGAACAGCAAGCTGTCCTTCCCAACATTGCTCTCAACAGAGGGCTTTCTGGAGGTTAAAAGGGAAAAACAATAACAACAACAACAAAGTCATATTTCTTATGCCAAAAAGCCATGGTAGTTTGCTCCCAAACAGGAATAATTATTATTGATTTACAGTATAATAGCAGCAAGCAGCATTGGTGATCGGTTAAACGTCTTCACTTTACTGGGGCCATTAATCAATCTTAGCAGCTATTTATTGCCTAGCAGGCTACCATGCAATAAAGATGAGCCTGAAATCAACTCCCACACTGGCTTTGACAGGCAAAAATTAATATTTAAGGTTGCATTACTAGCTGACTTTGGATTGAGACTTCCTGATTCCATTTCTGGTCAGCAATAGCAGGCCTGGCCGTGAAGGCACAGTCTGAGCAGCGCTCAGCCACAGGAGTTTCCAGAGTGCTGCAACTTCTGTCCTTAGAAATAGGATGCTGCCGTTACCTGAACATTCATGAGCCAGATACATATTTCCTTTTTTTTTTTTGTTTTGAAGAGAGGTTCATACACTCTCTTATTTGATATCAGTTATTTTTAACTACTGAGAACAAAGTGATTTGTTACGATTTATGTGTCTCTTTTATCCCCAGTTACGTTTTTCTACTATTGTTCCACATTTTGATCTTTTGACCAGTGGTAATGCTGTCACTGAGGGAGCTCAAAACATCTGATGAAAAGAGAACAGGTTCATTTCTTTTCCTCTTCCCTTCCGCCGACAAAAATACAATTACTGTGTTTGGTTCTTCCCGAGTATGTAAAATCATCACCATCATCATCGTATTATCATTGTCGTCGTCGTCATCATCATCATCATCATCATCATCAGCATCATCATCATCATCATCAGCATCATCATCATCATCAGCAGCAGCAGCAGCAGCAGCAGCAGCAGCACTTGTTGGGTCCATAGTTCTGGGACTGCTATTATCCTGAAGTTTAGCAATATCAACCAACCTGCTTAAGAGTACAACTCAAGCTGGCAGTAGAGTTGAAATTGTTTCAGAATTCAAGCTTGAGCCTGGAGGCTGAACTTCTAGACTTTGCAAGGGTTGGACTGCTTCACATTGACAAGGAAGTGTAACCCTTACAGCACATACATTACAAAGTGTATCTCTGTCTGGGTTCAGATGTCAACGGTGAAGTCTTTGATGCCAGTGATGAATAGAATGGTGTCCTGAGTGAATATCAAGATGCGATCAATTGTAGTAATACTTCTGGAATGTTGTCTACTGAAAATAGATTTTAAAATGACTGTTGAAATGTGAACTCCAGACACCTTTCCTTCTCCATTTTATTTGATATTAACTCTTTGATACATTGCATATGAGTTAGAGTTATATCATTCAAAATCAACTTAATTGTTAATGTGATTTCAGAGGAGGGTTCCGAACCTCAAAACTTTAGGGCTCTGATGGAGGAACTGGATCAGAATGCAGGATAAATTGTTGAGTAGTAGTTTCACACTAAACATATAAGATGCTGAAATACAACTATTAGCTTTTAGAAATGTCCCTGAATATTTATTTAGCCCATGCCCACAATGGCATACTCCACAATGGAATATGGCCGTCATTGTTTTAAGGAGTCTTCCCGCTGTTCCCAGGGTGGACAGTGAACACTAAGGACAGGGCCCAGCCAGTTCACTCTGAATTTGAAACCAAGCATACTGCCTGGAGTAATTAAACATTCTTTGTCTGCCTGTGTTTGTGTTAACAGGCACTCTTTCTTCCCATGAAGATGCCTGCTTTGTATCATCAATTACACTGTCAGTATCTCTCTGTCTTTTCATGTTTTTTATATGGAACTGAATCCACCTGCTCTTCACCTGTACATCGTAGCACATGAACTGCATAGCCCTGACCCGACGGCACATGCAGTGATTAGGTTGTCCAGGCTGAACTGATTCCACTCTTGGATAACTCTGAAGATTTGCGGCATTGATGCTCTCACATTGCTAAGAAGCAGGAGGCAATCTCAATGATTCCCACCGGGCTGCTGTGGGAGATGGGAATGCCTCAATGACATAGTGATTTCTTCCTCTTCTTGTTTCAGGTTCAATGGATCCAAATGACTTCCTGAGGGAGGCACAGATAATGAAGAGCCTAAGACATCCAAAGCTCATCCAGCTCTATGCTGTTTGCACTTTAGAAGATCCAATTTATATTATTACAGAGTTGATGAGACATGGAAGTCTGCAAGAATATCTCCAAAGTAAGTTGAACACTTAATAAAAGGAGGAAAAGGAGGGATTTAGTTTAGCTACATTGATGTCAATTTAGCAAGCCTTCTATAACCAACACAAAGATGTTTACAATGAGTGGGTCTGTCAGAACAAATGCTGTAACATTGACCAGCTCAACTACTATTTAATGGACTATGCTCTGTGTACTCAAGGGAAGGAAAATATTTATGTAGTGAAAGATGAAATTGTTCACAATAGACATAACAGAGTACTTAAATACAGTGTGAGAAATTGGTGAATGGATATATTGTGTTTCCTTCACCAACTAATTGAACATTATTAGTCATGGACAGATATTTTCTATGAAGTAGAGTTTGTAGAAATGAAATACTCTGGAGAGAGAGAGACAAAAGTATCTTAGGTTCTTTGTTCTTAAGGTTGTACCCCCCTCTCTCTCTGTGTGTGTGGGGGCGCCTAGGAACCATTAGAGTTTTCAGATTAAAAAGCACACTATTGCTGTGTTGCTCCATTTGATTTCTGAAGTCACAATAAAGATACCACAATGCTTATCACAAATGAATAATTCAATGCACAATAAAATAATAAGCATTGAAACAAGATGTTCAAAATTGAGAAAAAGAACTGAGAGAATAATTTATGCTTGAAAAACAAAGACTTCTTTGGACTCTTTGCAATATGATAGGATTATGAACAGGCGGGAACAGTGGAGTGAAGGGGTTAGGAAGATGAGAACATTCTCTGCTCTCAAGGGGGACTCGTGAAACTGGTAATTCTCAATTGCAAATAAACAAACCAAAAGAACAGAGATTGTGATGTGTCCTACATAATGCTATGAAAAACAGTCTCCCAGTATTGGAGTATTGGGCTTGTTGGTGACAACTTTGCATGCCCTTTGTAGTAGGATTGCAGTGTGGTATAATAGGTTTGAAAGAACATACACATTTTCCCTATGTATCTTTGTAGTCTCTAATCTTAGCTGATTTGTTTTGGTAATAATGTTCTTCAAAATTTTGAGAAGCCCATTAAAATACCATAATATTGAGAATGTTTGATGACATATCTATGTAAATATATCTTAGTGATACCTATTATTTTTACACATACATTATTTTGATTAAATTACTTTGTGAGAAAAAATACCTTAAAGTATCAAATTTCGTGTCAATCAGGTAGCTTAATAAATACAGTGGTGAAAGAAATGAAAGAAGGAAGCATGGGTTAAAGCTTTTACAGAAGAGAAAAGGCACGCTTGCCTCTTCCTTTGAGAAATCGATCATCACCATGTAAAGGAGGAAAAAAAAATCACCTTTGTAGAAGAATGTATTTCAGATCTCTGCTTTTTTTAACTTGTTTCAATTTCAAAAATCTCTAAACACGTGGACTCTCTCACTCCTTTTTTATTAATACATTTTATTTAAAGTAGGAACAATCTTATTGTACACATCAACCCCAGTTCCCTCTCCTTCCCATCCTCACATGTCCCCCCCATCCCATCCCCCATCCACTACCCAGGGAGGGTGGGCCTTCCATGAGGGATCATCAAAATCTGTCAAGTCATTTGGGGTAGGGCCTAGGCCCTTCCCTGTGCCTCTAGGCTAAGGGAGTATCCCTCCATGGGGAATGCACTCCCGAAATTCATTCCTGCATCAGGGATACATCCTGGTTTCCCTGCCAGAGACCCCATAGACTGCCCAGTCCTCCTAGTTGACACTTCTTGTTCAGAGTGCCTGGTTTGGTCCTATGTTGTTTTCCCAGCTGTCAGATTTGGGTCCATGAGTTCCCACTTGCTCAAGTCAGCTGTTTCTGTGGGTTTCTCCAGAATGGTCTTTAACCCTTTGTTCATCAATCCTTCTTCTCTAAAACTGGATTCCAGGAGTTACGCTCAGTGCTTAGCTGTGGGTGTCTGCTTCTGCTTCCATCAGCTACTAGATAAAGTCTCTAGGACGACATTTAAGGTAGTCATCATTCTCATTATAAAAGAAGGGCATTTAAGGTAGCCTCTCCACTATTGCTTGGATTCCTAGTTGGGTGTCATCCTTGTGGATCTCTGTGCAATTCTCTGATGCCAGATTTCTCTTTAAACTTATAATGGCTCCCTCTATTAATGTGTCTCTTTTCTTGCTCTCCTCTATCCATCTCCCCATTCAGTCTTCCTGATTCCTCATGTTCTCCTTCCCCCCTTTTCTCCCCTCTTCTTTCTCCTCCCCCATGCTCCCAATTTGTTCTGGAGCTCTGCTTTCCCCTTCACTGGGGGACCATGTATGTCTCTTTTATGGTTGTCCCTGTTTCCTAGCTTCTCTGAAGGTGTGGATTATAGTCTGGTAAACCTCTGGTCTATGTCTAATATTCATATGTGAGTGAGTACATACCATATTTGTCTTTCTGTGACTGGGTTACCTCACTTAGGATGGTTTCTTTCAGTTCTATCCATTTGCCTGCAAATTTCAAGATTCAATTGTTTTTTTTTTTTTCTGCTGACTAGTACTCCATTGTATAAATGCACCACATTTTCTGTATCCATTCTTCAGTTGAGGGGTATCTGGGTTACTTCCAGGATCTAGCTATTACAAATAATGCTGCTGTGAACATAGATGACAAGATGTCTTTGTTGTATGAATGTGCATCCTTTGGGTATATGCCCAAGAGTTGAATTGCTGGATCTTGAGGTAGACTGGTTCCCATTATGCAGAGGAACCACTGTACTGATTTCCAAAGTGGCTGTGCAAGTTTGCACTCCCACCAGCAGTGGAGGACTGTTTCCCATTTTGACAGGAACAAGGTGGTATCTCAGAGTTTTTTTTTTTTTTCCCCCCGATTTGCATTTCCTTGATGGCTGAGGATGTTGAGCAGTTTCTTAAGTATTTTTCAGCCATGTTAGATTCCTCTATTGAGAATTCTCTGTTTAGTTCTGTGCACCATTTTTAAATTGGATTATTTCATGTTTTATTGACTAGGTTCCTGGGTTCTTTGTATATTTTGGAGATCAGCCCTCTGTCAGATGTGGGGTCGGTGAAGATCTTTTCCCATTCTGTGGGCTACCATTTTGTCTTGTTGGCTATATCTTTTGCCTTACAGAAGCTTCTTAGTTTCAGGAGGTCCCATTTATTAATTGTAAATCTCAGTGTCTGTGCTACTGGTGTTATGTTCAGGAATTTGTCTCTGTGCCAGTTCATTGAAGGGTATCCAAACACAAAAGAATATACATTCTTCTCAGAACCACATGGAACCCTCTCTACAATTAACCACATACTCAGCAATAAAGCAAACAACAACAGATTCAAAAAAATTGAAATAACACCCTGTATCTTATTAGACCACCATTCCTTAAAATTAGAATTCAACAATGACACAAATGCAGAAACCATATAAACTCATGGAAATTGAACAATGCTCAACTATACCATTCCTGAGTCAAGGAAGAAATAAAGAAAGAAATCAAAGACTTCCTAGAATTCAATAAAAATGAAGTCACAATATATCCAAACCTATTGGGCACTCTAAAATCAGTGCTAAGAGGAAAGTTCATAGCACTAAGTACCCACATGAAGAAACCGGAGAATAGCCACACTAGAGAATAAACAGAACACCTGAAAGCTGTAGAACAAAAAGAAGCAAACTCATCCAGGAGGAGTAGATGCCAGGAAATAATCAAATTGAGAGCTGAAATCAATAAAGAAGAAACTAAGAAAACAATACAAAGAATCAATGAAACAAAGAGTTGAGAAAATCAACAAGATAGACAAACCTTTCTCTAATCTAATCAAAAGGCAGAGAGAGAACATGCAAATTAGCAAATTCAGAAATGAGAAGGGGGACATAATAATAGACACTGAAGAAATCCAGAGAATCATTAGGTCATGTTTTGAAAACCTGTACTTCACAAAATTGGAAAATTTAAAGGAAATGGACAATTTTCTAGATAGATATCACTTTGCATAATTAAATCAAGAACAGATAAGCAATTTGAAATAGTCTTATAACCCCTAACGAAATAGAAGCAGTCTCCCAACCAAAAAAAAGCCCAGGGCCAAATCAGATGGCTTCAGTGCAGAATTCAAGGAAAAAAGCCTGGTACTGGCACAAAAAATAGACAGGTAGACCAATGGAATGGAATTGAAAACCCTGATATTAATCCATATACCTACAAACACCTGATTTTGGACAAAGCAGCTAAATTGTACAATAGAAAAAATAAAAGTATCTTCAACAAATCGTGCTGGCATAATTGGATACTGGTGTGTACAAGACTGCAGATAGATCCATATCTATCACCATGCACAAAATTTAAGTCCAAATGGATCAAAGACCTCAACATAAATCCAGCCACACTGAATCTCTTAGAAGAGAAAGTGTGAGGTACCCTTGAACGAATTGGTATAGGAGACTGCTTCCTGAACCAGTAGCACAGACACTGAGACAGACAATTACTAAATGGGACCTCCTGAAACTGAGAAGCTTCTGTAAGGCCAAGGGCACAGTCAACAAGACAAAATGGCAGCCCACAAAATGGGAAAAGTTCTTCACCAACCCCACATCTGACAGAGGGTTGATTTCCAAAATATAGAAAGAACTCAAAAAGCTAGTTGCCAAAACACCAAATAAGCCAATTAAAAATGGGATACACAATTTAGTAGACAATCCTCAATAGAGGAATCTAAAATGGCTGAAATACACTTAAGAAAGTGCTCAACATTCTTAGCCATCAGGGAAATGCAAATAAAAAAAATACCAAAACAAAAAAAAAAATACCCAAAAAACTCTGAGATACCATCTTACTCCTGTCAGTATGGCTAAAACCAAAAGCACCAATGATAGTTTATGCTGGAGAGGATGTGGAGAAAGGGGAACACTCCTCCACTGCTGGTGGGAGTACAAACTTGTATAACCACATTGGTAATCAGTATGGTGGTTCCTCAGGAAAATGGGAATCAGTCTACCACAAAGATCTAGCAATTCTAATTTTAGGCATATACCCAAAAAGATGCACATTCATGCAACAAAGACATCTGTTCAACTATGTTCATAGAAGCATTATTTTTAATAACCTGGAAGCAACCTAGATGCCTATTAACTTAAGAATGGATGGAGAAAATATGGTACTACTTAGTGTAAAAAAAGCAGTGGAATCTTGAAATTCACAGGCAAATGATGAAACTTGAAGAAACCATCCTGAGTGAGGTAACCCAGTCACAAAAAGACAAATATAGTATGTAGTCACTCATATATGGATTTTAGACATAGAGCAAAGGATCATCATCCTACAGTTCACACTGCCAGAGAAGCTAGGAAACAAGGAGGACCCTAAGAGAGACATACATGGTCCCCGACAGAAGGGGAAAGAGACAAGATCTCTTGAACAAATTGAGAGCAGGGGGCTCAGTGAGGGGAGAGGGAGCTAGGAGAAAGAGAAGCAGAGAAGAGGAGGGGAAGGGAGAACATGAGGGAGCAGGAAGATTGAGTCAGGGAAAGAATAGAGGAGAGCAAGAAGAGAGATACCATAATAGAGAGAGCTTTCTAGGTTTGAATAGAAATCTGGCACTAGGTAAATGTTGAGAGACCTTATAAGGATGACCCCAACTAACAATCTAAGCAATAGTGTCTTTCCTTGATAATGAGTTTGATGACTACCTTATATGACATCCTAGAGCTTTTCTCCAGTAGCTGATGGAAACAGAAGCAGACACCCCCAACTGAACAGTGAGCCAAACTTCTGGAATCCATTTGCAGAGAGGGAGGAGTTTTCTTGCAGATTTGCTTCTTTTTGCCGACTGTTGATGTTCTCACAGAATGTGAGATTCCCTAGGAATCTAACACACACATTCCCGTGTTCCCGCTCATTATCACAACTATTCCATTTGTACACTTACCCGCAACCCTGAGCTCCCGACCCACAGGCTTGTCTTCTTTCAGCCAACCCCACATGGGCAATTCACATATATCACTGGGCAACTAAAATTGCTTCACTTTTTCACAGGTGTGATGATAATATTAACATCTAGGATCTATTGGGACCTTCTTAGGTATCTGACATCGTGCTAAGTACTTTACATGCGTTAATTCATTTGAAATTCTACTTTAACATAGGATACTTTGAGATAATTACTGCTATAACTATGTAGATGAAGACACTGAGGCACAGGGATATTAACTATATTGCTCAAAGTTACAAAGCAATATGAGGAGTAGCCCTGACATCAAGTCAGATTCACTGGTGTCACATTAATCTTCCTATCTCCTGTGTTATAGCTCTCTCTGTCGTCAAGACAAGAACTCAGTTAGCTATGTGAAACAGTATCTGACTTAGGAAGGCAAAGGGAACAGGAGTTGGTGCTTTTGGGAAACAACCTCAAATTGCTAGATGTCTGAAGATACTAGCCAACAGTATGGTAGTTTAACCTGAAGATGGCTTAGGAAATTTCAGTTTCCAAAGACAGCTCTGGCCCCTTCTACTGATGAACAAGGCTATTCTGTAATGTAAATCTCTGCACCTGGTTACATAGAGTGAGCACTAGGTGGCTTTCTGTCCATTTAAGGTGTATCTGTATCTGCAGAGATGTACAACCTGTTCTGAGAATAGCAAGATAAGAAGGGAAATTAAAAATACATTATGCATGTGGGTGTAAATGTGATGTACACATTTTGTAAGTGGTATACCCTTAAAATTTACCAGTGATCTAATTTTTAAGGAAAATATGGTGAGATGATAAAAGCTTTTCTTTGGCTTAGGCAGACTGTTGTCACTTCATCAGATCAATGAATAAAGCAAACCTTGCAGTTTGTTTTCCCAGTTAAAAAAATAAGTGTTTATGTATAGTGTATGTGTAGGTCAGAGGTCAATATTGAGTGCTTTCCTCAATAACTCTCCACTTTATTATCTGAGACAGACTCACCCAGTCTGGAGCTCACTCACTGATGAGAATTGCTAGCCAACAAGCTCTGGGGTCTTCCTGTCTTTGACTCCTCAGATTTGGAATTACAGGAGTACGCCACCATGACCAGATCTTTTTATATAAGTTCTGTGGACCTAAAACTCAGGCTGTCACTAACTGAACAATTTCTCTATTCTGGAAATGCTTTGTAAAAGGACAGAAACTCCCAAATGAAGAGGGAAATCAGTAATGTTTTCCTGGTAGACTGGTGTCATTTCACATATGATTGATTGACCAGAATTCATTTAATAGCTCAATGTTTTACAAACCTCTCATTTTCTCTTTTTGTTTAGATGATGGTGGGTCAAAAATCCATCTGACTCAACAGATAGACATGGCAGCACAGGTGGCTTCTGGAATGGCCTACTTGGAGTCCCAGAACTATATCCACAGGGATCTGGCTGCAAGAAATGTTCTTGTTGGTGAACATAATATCTACAAAGTAGCAGATTTTGGACTTGCAAGAGTTTTTAAGGTAGATTTGCTTTTGTTTTAATAAGTTCTTATAGTAGGCTAAAGGCCAAACAGGTAGACCATTAAGTTTATCATTATTACTTAAAACTATATTTCTCAGCTGAGTGTGGTACCAAATTCTCAGAATCCCAATACTCAAGAGGATAAGGCAAGAGGATTTGGGGTTCAAGGTTAGACTTTGAATTTCAGTGAGTCCCTTATTTCCAAACAACTATTTCAACAAGAGTACCAAAGCTACATATACAAAACAAAACAACAAAAACAACAACAAAACAAATGAAAACTGCCATGTTATTTACCTGTGGTCCATTGATAAAGGCAAGTAGTCTAGGACTTCACAGACAGTGTATCTCTCTATTTCTTCATCAAAAGGCGGGGCAACGAAGAAAACAATGATCAGGGAGATTAATAAATATGTAATTAAGTTTGTGGTTGAACTTACGGCTTGCTTTTCAAATGCTACCAGCAACACCCATTTACTTTCACACATCTCCTGCAGAAATCAGTAGACTTTATTTACTTTTGCTCTCTTGATAATACCTTGATGCCTTGCTACCATGATTCTGCAGCAATCATAAATGTGTGTGTGTTTGTATGTAAATGGGCGTGTGAATGTTTTGTATATGTGTGTGTACTCTTACCTGTGTGAGTGCATGCAGAGGCCAGAAGTTGACATTGAGATCTCTTCTTCAGTCATTTCTCCAACTTATTAAAGTGTTTTATTAACTCTTTGAGGATTTCATATAATGTGTCTTGGTCAAACTCATCCCCTCCCCCAAATTGTTCCAGATCTATCTCCCATCTCTCAACCCACCCAACATTTCCATGTTCTAAGTAGTTCTCTCTCTCTCTCTCTTTCCCCCTCTCTGTTTCTCTCTTCCATCTCTCACCAAACCTATTGAGGCCAACTGGCATTTACCTTATTTTATTTATGTATTTATTGGTACAGGGTTTCTCATGGAATCCGTAGTTATTATTTTGGCTAGATTGGCTGGCCAGCAAATTTCCAGGACTCATCTGTCCCCTCGCTGTTAGCACAGGGGTTACAGGTGTGCACTATATCACCTGGCTTTTATGTGTGTGCTTGCCCAGAGAGTAGTCTTTCCAAAACCGAACCACTGAGGTTTCCCTTCTCCCATACTCACCCTGTTCTGTGACATCAATCCAAAGCCACCAATAATAAGTCACCATAGAAGGTGTTTAAGTCTGGACGTTAGGTTTCTACATCATCCACTAAAAATATGATTGTAGAAATGATACACAACAGCTAAAGATTCTCTTTTCATATCACCTTTTCTTCTTTAGAAATTAATTCAAAATGCACTATGTTGGAGATAGTCAGTGCTAGCCTTTTATAAAAGGTTTGTTTATTTTAATTTATGTATACATGTGTTTTTCCCTGAATGTATGTCTGTGCATTATATGCACAGAAACAGTGCCTGTAGAGGTCAGAAAGCCCCAGATCCTCTGGAGCTGGAGGTACAGATGATTGTGAGCTGCCGTATAGCCTGGGTTCTCTTCAAGAGCAGCAAATGCTCTTAACTGCTGAGTCATCTCTCTAGCCTTAATATTAGGGGCTCTTCAGTACCAACAGCAAATAAAACCAGACATCCTCTCCTTTTTCCTCTTCCTACTTTTCTTCTTTCTCCTCTTTTTTCTTCTCCTGTAGTCTTCTTCTTTTGTCTCCTTCTATTTTTAAGTTTGTAAAGGATTGATGTAAATTCAAGCTATCACAAATTCTCCTGCATGCAACAGATCGATGCCCCTTCCAGGGCCATTATTACCACACACTTCACTTTTCAAGAAACATCTTGCTAATGACGTCTAATTTTATATGCCCAGTCTATAATATTTGATATTGCAATAGAAATTTATCTAAGCTCATATTGGATATTTCCCTGTTTAAGTTTTCATGTGAAACAGGTTACAAATAAATGAGGCCAGCACAACAACAGATCACTAACTTGGCTTGATGCATTAACAGGTAGATAATGAAGACATCTATGAATCTAAACATGAAATAAAGCTGCCAGTGAAGTGGACTGCGCCCGAAGCCATTCGTACTAATAAGTTCAGCATTAAGTCAGATGTGTGGTCTTTTGGAATCCTTCTCTATGAAATCATTACTTATGGCAAAATGCCTTACAGTGGTGAGTGATTAATTCGGAAGTGACCCTTTCTGCTGCAGGTCGCTTGCTTAGATGTGACTTTAACTGCTTTGCCCAGACTTAGAGGGCAGAGTTATGAGGCTGACCATGCCATGCTCCTAGAAGAGCTCGGTAGATAAAATCTGATGATAATAATTTGCATTAATGAGGTGGTTTATAGCATTCTTCTTTGCTCTTAGATTGCAGTCTTACAGACATTACTGTCTGCAGGTTTTAGTTTAATATCTACCTCCTGGCAAGTGGATGGTGGCTCTCATGGCTTCATGAAGGGAAAGAACTTTCATTGTAACGCAGAGTTTACTGCCTATAAATGGAAGACTCTGATTTTCCGTTTTTTTTTTTTTTTTTTTTTTTTTTTGTTCTATTCTATATGTCTTAGGTATGACAGGTGCTCAAGTAATTCAGATGCTGAGTCAGAACTACCGACTCCCACAGCCATCTAACTGTCCACAGCAACTCTACAGTGTCATGCTAGAGTGCTGGGATGCCGAGCCGAAGCTACGGCCCACATTTGAGACCCTGCACTGTAAACTCGAAGACTACTTTGAAACGGACGCCTCATATTCAGATACAAATAGTTTCATAAATTGAACAGCAAAGAGAAAGAAGAAATACAATGAAGATGTGAAAAAAAAATCAGAATCATCGGTCCAGACATACAGTCTTATAAACCAACTGTGAAATCAGTTTATTTTGACATATTCAGGTGGTAGGGTGAACTCAGCCATGTATTATATATTAACAAATATTATCTGTGTATTTTGTGACTAGGGAGCACTGCAGGACAGTCTAAGATGATATATCATTTTCTCACTGCCTGGTACAATCAAACACACTAAATGAAGTTATTTTCCCTTTTAAGAGCTACTCGCATTTCTATTTATTGTTGGAAATGCCCATCAAGAGAATCAACAGATGACAGTTTTTACGCAGTAACTGTTGTAGCATTTTCCTGTTTACTGATTAGACTGGTTATTCATTATTCCTCAAATTGCTGAATCCCATCAGGCTGTTATTATGAAGGAATTTGATTGCTCTGCCACACAGCGGGACCTGTGCTTTGAGCATTTTTCTTCTCTTTTAAAATACCCTGTAACTACAATGATGGCAAAGCCACGTTAAATGACTTGATTGTACTTGAAGTAATTGCACATGTTCTCCCTATGCATAAGAAAATGAAGCAGCTGTTGAGAAAAAGAATTCAAATCTTTCTCGTTCTGTAGGAGGAAATGATGGCGTCTTTCTATACCTCAGTGTGTGTCATCAGAGAATCATCTATATTAGCTTTAATTTCTTAACGTCAGGAATCGGGTTGCAAGGCTGATGGATGGTTATGTTTGGGAATATAAGGGAACCACTGTATTGCCCACTCAGTCTGAGAAATAGGTATTAGTATGGTACAGGGAAGCTGGACTAGAGGAGTGCTGCAGGATTGCTGCCACTTCCTAAGTATTAATAAAAATTTACTTTGGGACAAAAGGCAATTTTACATTGGCCACAAAACAGGCCAAGCCCTGCTTTGGTTCTGGAGTCCTGGGATAATGTCTGAACTTGATTATGAACTACAGCTTTTGTCTGTTAAGACAGGAAGCCTTCTAGTATCTTATGTTTTTTTTCTAACGGTAAGAATTTCTCTATTTTCTTAGACAATGAGTGTATCAAATATTCTGCCTCACTGGATGACTAACAAAACTTCTCCAAAGTGATGTCAAAGTCAGATCTATCTATTCCAAGACCTTCTAATGCACAACACTGAATGAACATACTCAAAAGGAAACAGGGTTAGGGTATACCAAGTTTACCTTCCATTTTTTTTAAAGAGAAAAGACAATATCTAGATAGTCACAAAAACATGCTGACAATTAAAAGAAAAAGTTGATTATTTTAACTAGAAACTAGGGGGCAAGCCACCAGGGACTAACCATTAGCAGTTTGTTGATGTCGCTGTCCTTGTTGCTTTTGTGCGGCTTGCTTACTTGCTTACCTATGCTCAGATCAGTTTCTATACTCCCAGAAAGATTGGGACCTTTTGCCTAGGGAATAGTGTGTCACACATGGATTGAATCTTTCCAGATCAATTAACTCAATGAAGACAATTCTCTACAGATGTGCCCACAGGTCAATCCAATGTAGACAATGCATCAATGAGGTTCTCTTTCCAGGTGATTCTGGGCTGTGTCAAGTGGTAGAGTGTAGCTAGCCATCACACCACTTAAAACTCAAATCCTATCAAATCTTACAGTCTACCACAAGCACTGTCTGTGTTCCTATGGTCACAGATGGCCATAAGTAGTACCTGAAGCCCCTTGTTTTCTTCTATACAACAAGAAGAAAATCGCTTTGCTCTTAGGTATCATCATAAGCTTCCTAAAACCGTTCTCATTTGGGGGGTGGGAGGGGGAGCAGGTGGCAAACATAAGTCCTGTGCCCAAGTCTGTACGGTGAATGTGAATGCTATTTGTTGACTGCCTTAGAGGAAATTCTGGAGTGAAGCTGAGGGTATGAACTCCAAGACAAGCTGTTTATTCAAATGAAATTACAGATTAGTTGATGGATAGGTGTCCATTAAGAAAACCATTTAAGATGAATTAACTGATGAAGTTAATCTATGTACATGAAGGCATTCATTTATCATCTCAAGAATTTCTGAAGACTTTAATCTGGATCATGTGGAGCTAAAAGCTATGGAAACACTCAGAGAAACAAAAGCATTAATATTTTAACCAGATGCCAGAACTTGGAGTAACTTCAATTATTCATTTCAAGTTATCTAGTCTAATCTAACCATGGAGAAGATTTTCAATAATAATAATAATAATAATAATAATAATAATAATAGGACTTCTTTTTCTGAGTTAATTTCTGCCTGGGGGCATATGTATAAATGAATGGAAAAATTCCCATTTCACTGTGCAAATTCCAATGCTATGTACTTTTTTGTGGTAGCTGATAATAATAAATTTGTATTAAGATCTGGTTTTAAAGCATAAAACAGTTATCCTTTCCTGTTTTAATGCCATGTGAAACTTGTTTAACTCACTGTGTTTGATTCTTGGGGACATTTATGTTCAAGGTTCTGTCAAAGCAATCTATTATTCCTGTTTTTACCCTGATGGATCATGGAGAAAAATAATGGATTCAGTTATGAGAAGCAGTAATAGATTTTTTTTTAAACTGACATAAATTTTGCTCCCTGTATAGAATAAAAGGATCAGGAAAAAGATATGTTGAATTTCTCACAATGAGCCAGCTCTTGTTGAAGTTGCCTCCCATAAATTGTAGCCAAGCACTTTTTATGTAATGTTTTATTTATGTAATCCAGTTATTTAGAGGTGGTAGTGAGGGATGTGAGTACATCATTTTATGTGGTATTTCAAATCATATTCGACAAAAACCTTAAGAAGTTTTGTGATAGAACAATTCAAAATTCCATTAAGCCTCCTTTTAAGAATATAAGGAAGGAAATAGGTTTAAATTACTCAAGGTCAAAGTGGCACAGAGTGGAGTCCTAGCAGTTGTACAGAGCTCAATATTTTGTCTTCAAACACAAAGTCAAATCCACAGTGATCAGGAACGTATGACCATATTGTATGAATGGTCTGCCTTGACAGACACCAGTGAAGATGCATGCAGGGTGATACCACTGCACTCATAACTACTACCTATGTTCCTTCGTGATAGTCACATGAGAAGCACTAACTTTTTGACTCAGGTTTTCTAAAGGTAATACTCCCTTGAAAACCTTAACAAGGTTTACAATTTCAGGGAGGAAGCAGGGCTCAGGTGGTGGTCCATGTCAAGCACATGCTCTACCTCAAAGCATATTTTTCTCTATACAGTTGGACATAAAGGATTTGGGCCAAAACACCTTGCTGGTGTGTTGTTATTGGCGAATTTTTAGGATTCTTTGCAGAGATGCATTGATAATGAACTGGAATGGTGATGAATTAATACCTTAACCCAGTTTCATCACCATCTCTCATCACTGTCAAAGTAAATGGGGTTTGTATACCTGAGAATATATACCAAGAATGCTAGTAGGCCAGTGGACTCTTGTGGTGATATCTTTTTGCACAAATAAAGCCTGTCTGGGGGTTACAAGAAAGAAGTCACCACAGACTTTTCTGAAAATGGTGGGTTCTTATATTTCCAGGCACTACTGTGAGCTTTGGCTGTAATCATCAGCATGATGAAAAAACTCAGGATTATAGGAAAACAAAGCCAGGAAATTTTGCAGAGAATACTCACAACTATTTTAAACCCTTGACCCCAGCAATGTTTTAGTGTCTATAGTACCATCTTTCATGGCCTAAGTTGCCTGATATCTATCTATCTATCTATCTATCTATCTATCTACCTATCTACATACCTACTTATGTATCTGTCCGTCCATCCATCCATCCATCCATCCATCCATCCATCCATCCATGTATTGTAACAGTGTTTCTCAGGTAGCTCAGGCTATATTTAGTTCTTGAATCATCCTGCCTCCATCTCCAGAGTACTATAATTGTACATGTGCATCACCAAACCCAGACTATCTTTTTTTCCTCTTTTAAAAGTGCTGCTTGATATCTCAGATTACTAATACCACGTAGAAATAAGCTATAGAGCAAAAATAGAATATGTTATTTACCCATAAAGAAGGGTGAAATTATATCATTTCCAGAACATGGATGGAATCGGATGACACAAGCCAGGCATAGGAAGACAATAATGGCATGTTTTCTTTTTTATGTAGACACTTAACAAAATGACCTGAACACAGAAGAGAGACTATTAGAAGTAGGAAAAGGAAGATAGGCAGGTGTATCACTGTGAGTTCAAGGCCCATTCCAGGACAGCCAGGACTATATGGAAAGCCAAAAACAAACAAAACAAACATCAAACAATAAAAAGACAAAAATAAAGTAGGAAAGAGGGGGTCTGAACAAGAAATCTGAAGAGAAAAAGGAAAAAGAAGGCAGAGAGGAGAGTGGTTATGATTAAAGCCTGACATTTGCATGCATGGCAGTGTCACAGCGAGCAGATTAATTTACTTAATGTGAATTTACAATAACAATGTATGTGTTACAAGTAAGGTTTTTTCCTGCCGACCTGGGCCCAATGTGGCACCAGCCCCAAATAACACACAAAGACTCTGTATTTGACATAATGCTGTTGGCCAGTTACTAGTTTCTTATCGGCTAGCTCTGTCTTAATTATTAACCCATTTCTATTAATCTAAGTATTTCCACATGGTCTCATCTTAACGGAGAGTGGGGCCGATGTCTGCTCTCTCCAGTCTCTACATGATTACTCCTCCCTATTACTTCCTCTGTCCTCCTCGTCTCTTAGTCCTGCCTATCATGCATTCCTATTGGCCAACAGTGCTTTCTTTATTCATTGACCAATACAAGAAACATATCTACAAAATGTAGATGCCTTTACCCTAGGACTAGATATGTAGGTCGTTTTGTTCTCGATTTTCCTTTTCTTAGAGCACACTTGTTATTCACTGTTTTGTATATATATTTGTATCAAGCCTAAATCTTTTCTTTAGACTAAAAGGGGAATTATAGTGGGATATTCACTTTGTCTCCTTCTGTGGCACTAACCACACCCATTAGGGGGTGGAGCCAGGGGCGGAAGGGACGTCGGGAATGCTCTCTTGCTGGCAGGACGCAGAGAGGAGAGCATCCGGTGGAACTTGCTGGTGTTCATCTGTCTAGGTTGTAAGTTATTTCTCCCTGAATAAACATCTCTTCGGCCTATCTGTTTATCCTGAACCTTATTAAACCGCAATATGTATGCGAACCCTGAATTTGTGAACCTTCAACAAATTTACTTGAAGTCTTCAGTTAGATGGTATTATCTTTGTAGACTGTAAGGAAAGAGTCGCCTAGTCTCTAGTTTCTCTTTTTACCTAAGTGGTTAATCTATTAACCTTAGTCATTAAAAGCAATAAATTTCAATATAAAATCTTTTTCATTGTCATGGAAAATAGTCAGCTTTTCCAGAGAAGGAAACAAGCTCAGACATGCATTTTGCATTTTGTTAAGTGTATTTCTGTATAATGACATCACCTCATATACTGTAGTACCACAAAACTGCATGGTAGGAAAAAAATGACTAAAAGCAACTAAAATTATTCTGATTTGTTAGAGCAAAACATTATTTTAAAATAATTCCCTTAAATATTAGAATAAGGCTTTATATTGTACTGTCTATTACATTTAAATTCATGAAGTATAAAATTTAGAAAGCATACGATTTAAGAAATAAAAACATTCATAGTTTTTTTAATCACTTTTCAAAATATGTGCTTGTTTATAAGTTGAGAAACTGTGAAATAAGTCCAGATGACAATATTAGTATTTTTAAAGAAGGAAGAAAGATTCTTGTCT